TGCTGAAGGGCTACAAAAAACCAAGGTTCAGAAACAGTATTGGCCCAAGAACACAGAGAAAATGATATTCTGTTCACTCACACTGTACAATAGAACAGAGAAAGGATTAATAAATATATAGACATTAAGGAGAGTAGTGCCTGCCATACACTAAAGGCCTATTAAATGGTAATTACTCCAAGCATACGGTAACAAGAAGATTGCAAATGGGGAGGTAAACATTAGAGAGAAGAAATTCATATTCAGATAATATTTAAGTTAAGGTATGCCCATCTTTTTTACTTTCCATCCCTTTTTATGTCATGGATGGTAGACTTCACAAATGGTAATAGCAATAAGTTAGAATTCTCTTTAACAAATGACTCTCAGTTTGTTGATTTCTCTGGCATAGAGAAACAAAAAAAACCAACTTTAATAAAGAACTATCTTATATACACTTCCAAACCTTCCATTAACAATTTAACCCACAGGCTACTGAAGTTTTTTAATTTCACTGAAAGTGCTCTTCAAATAAAAATTCTAAATGCCAAATCTAACTGAATGCTTATATTGTACTTAATATATTACTTTTATGAATACATTCTTTATGTAAAATTTAAAAATTAAAAAGTTAAGATAAGGCTAAAGTTTAGAGCTCCTTTTGATCATCTGCCCTAACTCTGGTCCCTTCCTGCCTTCCCCAGCGCTGACCACTTTTCATGTACCATCTTAGCTGATGATTACTCTCTTCTCCTTGCAACTACCCCTCCCTCATTGGTTGTAATTACACCACTTTCTACTGATTTTTGCTTCTCAGTTTCCTTTGCAAGCTCCTCTTCCACTGTCTGCCCGCCACTCCTCACCTACACACCTTCCTTGCTTCTTGCTCCTTACTTTTACACTTCTCCTAGGTCTAAAGTTCTAAGACTTCAACTACGACTTACCTAACAAAATCTCTCCTGTGCCACAGACTGATATGTCCAACTCAGGACTGGGCACCTCTCTCAGACACTTCTAATGAAATATACTTCTCTTCCTTCTACATTCTCCATATCCATAATCTTTATCTCCAGCTAACCAAGTCAGAAACTTAGGAGTTCCTAACATTTATCCTTTCTCCTCCACAATCTCCATAACCTAGAATCTATTAATCTATTAATAACCTAGAATCTATTAGGAGTTAGCCCTGCACATGCTAACTCCTAAATATCATTACAGTTATACCCTCTCACCTGGTTTAGACCCTCATCATTTGTCAGCTATGCCGCTATAAAACTACCACCGCGACAAAACAGTAACACATATCTTCTTATATAATATACATCTTTAACCAAGTCTATGTTCCTTCAAAGATTCTTTACTGCTTAAAAGATTCACCAACTTCTGATTTGATTTTTACTTTACAAGCATATCACCTTTACTTTTTTTTAAATTTTGAGAGAACTGATTTCTTAAAAGGCACATTGTAATATCCATAAAAATCATGAGTTAGAAGTATTATTTTTTTAATTTCCAATTTTCAATTAGAGTTGACATTCAACATTATTTTATATTACTTTCAGGTGTACAGCACAGTGGTTAGACATTAATATAATTTATGAAGTGATGCCCCCAATTAGTCTAGTACCCACTTGGCACTATACATAGTTATTAAAATATTGACTATATTCTCTATGCTGTACTTCATCCCCAGCATTAGTTATTTTTCTGCAATAAATATATAGTTTGCTCTTGAGTAATGC